GCTATAACTTTCACGTAAACCAATTAATTTACACGTATTGGGATTTTTTTTTAGCAAAGACATGTTGCAAAATACATTTTGGCATAAATTTATAATGAAATTTGATTTTTAAATTTTTCTTAACATAAAAAAACGCACAGGCGATCAAATACCACTGAAAGAAAGCCCAATTCATGGGAAAAAAAGGATGTAAATTTCATTTTGGTGCAGCATTGCATAACCAGGCAATTGTCAAAGTGACGCAGCGCCATAACACAAACTGCTTATGTAACCGCTTCCTGATCGCCCTATAGCATAAATACTGCTACAGGGCAGCACAGGTGTGCAAAATCACATTCGAGCTCCCATGGTTTTCACGCCCCTCCCAGATGGCGTCAGATTGCCCTCAGTACACCAGTCATCACACTTAACCCCTTGATTGCCAGGAACACGCTCATGCACAATAAACCTCCATTGCTAGTATAGTGTCTGAACAGATCAATGTATTTGATCAGATCAGCACTATACCAGCGTTCACATTAGTATAGTGTCCCAAAAAATGCAGCGTTAGTGGGATCAGCCCTGGCACCTGCCAGCACCTGTGTTTAACCTCTACGCTTACCCCCCCCTCCCCCAGCAAGTGTAGTGTCAGTAGGTCACTGTCACTTGATACATTGCACACAAAACCGCAATGTTTGCAGAATCAGGCCTGATCTCTGTTACCACTTGCTGGTAAATTTTGATGACTCTCATATGCAGCAGTGTGCCAGTACTAGTGCCACTCTACCTTTTGGTGAACTGGCGAGTATTAGTGGCCTAGTAGATCCTGGTCTTTCACATACCTTTTAGATTGTAAGCTCCAAGGGGCAAGGCCTTCCTAACCCTTTTGTATTGAACTGTATTGTTGCTGTATTTTCTCTCGTTATATTGTAAAGGGCAGTGTATAAATCCTGTATAATAAAAATAATACCAGCACTGCAGTATGACTTGGCAACGTGGTGAGTCCCATAAGTGCAGTACAAGCTGGTGCGGTGGCGAACACAAGTATTGTCCCACAACCACTAAGAATTCGCACACAGGCCTGTAGAGCCCCAAGTATCCTTCCGAATGTGCTTGCAAATCCCGATTGGCAGCCCACAAATTTTGCAGCACCCGTACTTCCCCCATTCACTGCCCAACCTGGAATTCAGGTGGAAATAGCAAATTTAACTATTCCCCTTGATTTTTTTGGAGCTGTTTTTCACGGGAAGATCTGTATGCATTGATTGTGGATCAAAGCATTTTATATGCACAACAATGTATCGCCGCCAACCCAAATTCAAACCTTGCCAGACCATTCGCATGGAAACTCATTACAGTTTCCGAATTTAAATTTTTTTTGGACCTAACCCTCAACATGGGCATTACTAAAAAAAATGAATTGCGGTTGTATTGGTCCACAGACCCGATTCATCATATGACTGTGTTCTCTGCTGCCATGGCCAGGCATAGATATGAGAGTATAATGCATTTTATGCATTTCAACGACAATACACTCTGTCATCCTCGGGGTGACCCTGAATTTGACCGGCTCCACAAAATTCAGCCCCTCGCAAATCACCTTAACCAAAAATTTGCAGATGTCTATACTCCCCAGCAAAACATCTGAGCTGATGAGTCCCTCATTAATTTTTCTGGCCGCCTTGCATTCAAACAATTTCTCCCCTGCAAGCGTGCCATATATGGGGTCAAGATGTAGAAGACCTGTGAGAGGGCAACAGACTATACTTATAAGTTTCGGATTTACGTGGAGCCCCCCTGGATGCACAGACTACATGGGGAGCAGTGGCAAGATAGTTTGGGACTTGGTGTCATCTTTTTTCCATATGGGGTACCACTTATATATGAACAATTTTTATTCAAGTGTGCCACTATTTAGACATTTGTACAATCTTGGAACTGGCACATGTGGCAAAGTGTGACCTACTATGTGTCCCTCCATTAGAAGTGGCTGGATGCAGGGCGGTATATTTTAATGGTGGGCGTACCACACACTTTTTTTGGCAGATATTTCTTCTCTTTTTTTCATTCAGTCCACAGGCTGCATACAAAGAAAAAAAAAAAGAACATAGCATATATACCCAACAAGGACCAGCGACGTACTGGTACATCCCCCAGATGCCCAGTTTACATGGGGAGTAGTGGCAAGATAGTTTGGGACTTGGTGTCATCCTTTTTCCATATGGGGTACCACTTATACGCAGTGGTGTATTTTGGTTTTGTGCTGCCCTAGGCAAGACTGAAATCGGGCACCCTCCCACATCTAAATTTGCCCCACCCTTTCATCTGCAAACTCCACCCTTCCTCTTTAGGCTTCACCTCTTCCTATTAGAGCTCCACCCACTGACCACTATGGGGAGCTATTCCTCCCACTGACACCAATGATGGGGCACGATTCATCCCACTGACACTAATGATGAGGCACTATTCCTCACACTGACACTAATGATGGGACACTATTCCTCCCACTGATACCAATGATGGTGCCCCATCATTACTGTCAGTGTGTGAGGAAAAGTGCCCCATCATTAGTGTCAGTGTGAGGAATAGTACTCCATCATTAGTGTCAGTGGAAAGAATCGTGCCCCATCATTGGTGTCAGTGGGAGGAATCGTGCCCCATCATTGGTGTCAGTGAGAGGAATCGTGCCCCATCATTGGTGCCAGGGGGAGGAATAGTGCCCCATCATTGGTATCAGTGGGAGGAATAGTGCCCCATCTTTGGTGTCAGTGGGACAAAGTGCCCCATCATTGGTGTCAGTGGGAGAAATAGTGCTCCATCATTGGTGTCAGTGGGAGGAATAGTGTCCCTTCATTGGTGTCAGTGGGAGGAATAGTGCCCCATCATTGGTGTCAGTGGGATGAAAAGCGCCCCCTCATTGGTGTCAGTGACACCAATGAGGGGGCACTATTCCTCCCACACTGACACTAATGATGGGGCACTATTACTCCCACTGACACCAATTATACTTACATCGCTGTGCTGACCCCTGCCCGGGCTCCCTGCTTCAGGCACAGACACTTGCCGCCCCCCTGAAAAGTGCCGCCCTAGGCAAATGCCTTGCTTGCCTCATGGCAAATATGCCCCTGCTTATACGTGGACAATTTTTATTCAAGCCCCCCCAAATGACAACCTTTGGAAAGTAGACACCCCAAGGAATTTGATCAGAAGCATGGTGAGTATTTTGCAGATCTCTTTTGTGGCCACAAGTTTTTGAAAATTGAAGAAAAAAAACCAAAAACATTTTTTCTTTTCTCTTTTTATATTTCAAAACCTTGTGAGAAAAAATGAGATCTGCAAAATACTCACCATTCCTCTTTTTAAATTCCTAGGGGTGTCTACTTTCTAAAAAGGGGTCATTTGGGGGGTTTGGTGCTATCCTGGCATTTCAGGGCCTTCAAAACTGTGATAGGTAGTGATGAAGTGAAATGAGGAAGTTACACACCTTCAGGCTTTCAAAGTGGTCATTGGATTTCAAGCTCCTGTATGTGGCTAGGCTCCAAAAAAGTCTCACACATGTGGTACCCCCATACTCGGTAGAAGTAGCAGAATGTATTTTGGGGTGTAATTCTACCCACATATACCCATGGCTTGTATGAGACATATATCATTTAAATAACAATATTGTGTAAAAAAAAATTTTTTTGGTCATTTTCCAGAAACTTGTGGAAAAAAATAAATCTTCCATGGACTCAATACGCCTCTCAGCAGATAGCTTAGGGTGTCTACTTTCCGAAAAGGGGTCATTTGGGGGTGTTTGTACTATCCTGATATTTTAGCACCTCAAGAAATGTGATGGGCAGTCAGAAAGTAAAAGCTGTGTAAATTCCATTATCCATACCAGTTTGTAGATGCTACAACTTTCACACAAAGCAATCAATATACACTTATTGGGATTTTTTTTACCAAAAACATGTAGCAGAATACATTTTGGCCTAAATTTATAACTAACTTTGAGTTTATTATATATTTTTTTATAGCCGAAAGTAAAAAATATTGTTTTTCTTCAAAATTTTCGGTCTCTTTTTTTGTTTATAGTGCGAAAAATAAAAAGTGCACAGGTGATCAAATACCACCGAAAGAAAGCTCTATTTGTGTGAAAAAAGGACGTAAATTTCATTTGGGTACAGCATTGCATGACTGCGCAATTATCAGTTGAATTAGTGCAGCGCCAAGTAGCAAAAAGAGGCCTGGTCATTAAGGGGTTAAATCCTCTAGAGGGCAAGTGGTTAAGTTTGTAGCTGCAGCTATGGTTAAACTCTGTCTTTTCTCTATAAGAAAAAAAATCCTGTTTCCTGTTAGCAGAGAAGCAGCACTTAGTTCTGTAGGGCTATATAAACAGAATCTCTAACAGGTTATGGACCCAGACACCCAGTCACAGCCTGCTACAGCAAACGAGTGGAAGACACAGCAACAGAAAGAAGACTGCAACAGAATAAAAGAAAACGGCAAGTAACACAGCTGCAACAAACCTTCCATTTTCAGATTTGACATACCAAAACTACCAGTCTTGGAAATTCAAGATGAAAATGCTGCTAATAAGAGAAGGTATGTGGAAATGTATAAATTAAGTCAGGTCAGAATTCCCTTCATGGTGATAATTTCAGCATACCTAAGAACAAAAGGGGATAAGGACCTTCTTCCTACAAATGATCAGTACAGACAAGCAGAGGGAGCATTGCTATAAATTGCAATCACTACACGTACAGATATTGTAGCTGCCACGCTGCTTCCTTGTAGACGCGTGAGTGAACCACATCAAACAGACTGGACATCAATTAAGAGAGTTATGATGTATCTCAAACAAACCAAAGAGTTGAGTCTGAAGCTGTCTGCAGTTGGTGATCAGTGTTCCCTGATGATCAGTGTGGCCCCAGAAGTGCCACCTGTCAGTGTCCATCAGTGCCAGCTGCCAGTGCTGAACAGTGCCGTGTGCCAGTGCCACATCAATGCCACATATCAGTGCCTACCAGTGCACATCAATGCCACATATCAGTGGCCATCTGAGCTGCCTTTCAGTGTCACCCATCAGTGCCAGTCAGTGCCACCTATCAATGCCAATCAGTGCCACCTATCTGTGTGCATCAGTGCCGCCTATCAGTGCCTGTCAGTGCCTCCTATCAGTGCCCGTCAGTGCCACCTAACAGTGCCAGTCAGTGCCGCCTATCAGTGCCGCCTATCAGTGCTGCCTTTCAGTGCCCATCAGTGATGCCTGTCAATGCCCATCAGTGCCTCCACATCAGGTGGCAGGATAGTGCCACCTATCAGTGTCCATCAGTGCAGCCTCATTAGAGCACATCAGTGAAGGAGAAAAATCACTTATTTACAACATTTTACAACAAAACCTAAGAAAAAACATTTTTTTTCAAAATTTTCAGCAGTTTTTGGTTTGTTTAAGAAAAAATAAAAAACCCAGAGGTGATTAAATACCACCAAAATAAAGCTCTATCTGTCACAAAAAAATTATAAAAATTTCATATGGGTACAGTGTTGCATGACCGTGCAATTGTCATTCAAAGTGTGACAGCGCTGAGAGCTGGAAATTGGCCTGGGCAGGAAGGGAGTATAAGTGCCCTGTAGGCAAGCGGTTAAGGAGTAGTTGTTAAGTGGGGTGTTGGAATACAATGTTCATGTATTTCTGTACAACAACTACATCAGTACTCAGCAGAGATAGATTCCTCAACTAGTAGATGGCAGTGTTTATATGTTTGTAGCTGTATCTATGGTTAAATTCTGTCTTCTCTCTACAATAAAGTTCCTGATTCCTGTTAGCAGAGATGTAGCAGATAAACACACATGGGCTGTGCACGGTTTGTTCTGTAGAGCTATATATACAGATTCTCTAACAGTAACACATTTCCAGTACTGGGATGGCCCCCCTCTTCTGTATCAGTATAGCAGAAACAAGATGGTACTACGGAACCTTTCCCATCTCATATTCTCCGTAACATAGAGAGGCATGGTTCTGTAATACTCAGGGATAACCGAGAATATTGTAACTGATTACAGATTGCACAGGCAGAGAAAACAATAAGTTATCAGCTCACACAATTTCTGGTAAGATTAATAGTTCTTTTTTATGGAATTACAAACAGGTATAACAAAATGCTTTAATTTGTATATTTAACTGACAAAAGGCAGCAAGTAGGAGTTTATTTATTAGGGTTTACTTACACTTTAATTCCAACATACATTGTCCACTTGCGCCATGATAGTTTTTTCCTTTTCCACTATGCCCTGACATATTTGTAAATGTGAGATGTTTGAATATTTAGTGAAGAAAATCCTGTTTAAACTTTCTCTAACACATTATTACATATTGTGCATACAAACACAAATGTCTAAAGTAACTGAAATAATGTACTATTACCAAAGCACTGCTTAATCTGAGCCATAAATTTAAATGTGAATGTCTGTACAATAGAATTAGCCATTATGTTGGAAAATTCTTTCATGCTTTTAAGAAGTGATTGCTTGACTTCTGATGCTACAAATTCATAAATCAGTCTTAACGATATTTTTAAACTCAGAAAAAATCAGCGGAAACAACAGAAGTAGCAAATGTGGAACATATTAACATACATGCAATGAAATGATACCACAACTCTCAGAATGTCTATATACAGTATATGGAAGCACGTACAATGGAATATATTCTTGGCCAATATGGAAAGCAAGAAATCTGTAATTTAAACAAGATGCTCATCTGACATCTTAAATTATGAACAGTAGGATTTCATATTTAAATTATAGTTTAATATTCAATTGGGAACCACATCTTGTGCTATGCAGGATACGGTCAGTCAATGTTGTAAAAAGAAACCAGAATTCTTTCCACAAATGTTTTCTAAGCATAAACTGGCTTATGTATAAAAATTTTACCAAACAGAAAATGTTGTTTCCCTATTCAAAAAGGTTTTTTTTTTTTCAGATCATGGATCATAGAAAAGACAAATCGAAACTGGTTGGTTGCTACAGCAGTAAGAACATTTCTTGTTAACAAATATACCTATGATAATGATAAGGTGGGTACAGAATGTTAGGGTTAAGTTTAGGCTTAAGTCCTAGAAATTAAGGTTTGAGGTTAAGTGATATTGTCAGTTCAACTGATTAATCCTAGGGGTTAAACCATTAAAGTGTACTGTATGTTAACTCTAAAAACAAACTTCTTTAATTGATCTCCTTGGGCATGTTAAATGTACTATGTAACATATTCGTTAAAACTGTTCTGTAAGTGAAAAAAATGATCTTTCTAGAAATCCATTGAGACCCTAACTTGTAGTCAGCTCACAATGCTATACCAAATTAACAGCTAAGGAAAGTCGAAAAATAGAGCTGGACCTGTAGGGTTTTCACTGGTATTCCTATCTTAAAGTATTGATGTTGGTGTAAATAATCTGGTTCCCAGGCAGGAAACATCTACACCTCAGAGGATCTCCACAGGCTCCTTGGCTTGTAGTGTATTGTAACAACTGTCCCTGTAAAGACAAACAAGGAGGCTTTCCACTCAACTGTTATTTGTTCACAAAGATTTTGGCCAGACCTGACTGAGGCAGTGGTGATACATCAGGTAAGTGACTTACTGACAGACGTGCACATCAGAAATGTTTGTTTAATGTTGGATGCATTCATTTATTGAAGAATTTTGCTTCATTGTATTTATTATGTTGAACCAAACCGTTTTCTGAATTTGTTTCAAATCGTTGGCATTTGTTTTGTATATTTGTTGGTCCAAGTGGACTCGAAAAATTCTGTAGTTTTTTGTGGAAGATTGCTATATATTAGTTTTCAGTTTCAATATTTCAGGTGGATTTGTTATTCATATGTCAAAACTATGCAATAATTTTGGACAGAACAGAATAAAAATATTGCAAAATTCTGCAGCCCTGAATTTGTTAGACTGTGGAACTGAACTGACTGACTGTGACAATTACAAATTTAATTTAAATCACTGAGACTTGGCAATATGTTCCACAAGAGCAGGCAATAAAATGTTTCTTGAATCTTTGAAAATATTTTCCACTGGTTAATCAGGAACTGGGGACGTATAGTTGATATAGTCTACTTGGGTGTCCCAGTATAAATCCTAACAGACTAGCCAAGCTACCCACTGCTTTTTGACTGTGAGGAGGATCCATTAGATGGCAGGAAACACCCAACAGGCCTGCTCCCCTGCCCACAAAGTAAATCCATTTTGGTGGAGTTGTTCTTTATGTCAAAAATAGCCATTCAAGACCCTTTTGCATGTTACATAGGTAGTCTGGCTGAAAAAAAGACAAAAGTCGATCCAGTTCAACTATTAAAAAAAAAAAAAAAAAAAAATTATAATCTTATACCCACAGTTGATCCAGAGGAAGGCAAAAAAAAAAAACAACAAAGCATGACCCAATTTGCTCCTGCAGGGAAAAAAATTCCTTCCTGATCCCCCGAGAGGCAATCGAGTATTCCCTGGATCAAATTTACCTATAAATGTTAGTATCCAGTTATACACAGTTATCTGTGTATCTAAGAAAAATCCTGGCCTTTTTTAAAGCAATCCGATGAGCTGACCAGAACCAACTCTTGTGGGAGTCTATTCCACATTTTCACAGCTCTTACTGTGAAGAAATTTATCCATATTTGGAGATTAAATTTCTTTTCCTCCAGATGTAAAGAGTGCCCCCTTGTCCTCTGTGAGGACCTCAGGGTGAAAAGCTCTACACCGAGTTCACTATATGAACCACTGATGTATTTATACATGTTGATCATATCCCCCCTTAATCTCCTCTTCTCAAGAGAATAAATTCAGTTCCTCTAATCTTTCCTCATAGCTGAGCTCCTCCATGCCTCCTATCAGTTTTGTTGCCCTTTCTTTGTACTTTCTCCAGTTCCCCAATGTTCTTTTTGTGAATTGGTGCCTAAAACTGAACTGCATATTCCAGATGAGGTCTTACTAATGATTTGTACAGGGGTAATATGATATCTCTCTCTCTCTGCAGTCTATACCTTTTAATACAAGAGAGGATTTTGCTCGCTTTAGAAACCGCAGCTTGACATTGCATGTATTCCAGAAGAGTAGAAATATTCGTCATGAGGGAAAGTTTCCTCAAATGGTGTTTATTGCACTGTTTTAAACACAATAACTTACATTTTAGCTGTTATCATCACCTATTAAAATGCATTGTCCTTTAAATGGTTCTTTTTATAAAGATTTACCATTACTGTAAACCTTGTTTTATTCTTCCAGCCATAACAGGTTAAGGAACGGATTCTCCTCACTTTCTGTAGTGGCTGTAATATAAATTGTTGTGTAGGATTAAATTGACTAATTGGGATGTAGAAATTGGAAGAGATAGTCCACCCGCCACACACCTGGCCCAGGTAGTTAGCAGGCAAAAGCAGCTTCAGCTTAATAAATCCAACCCATGCTCCCAACATGTTTTGACCTGCCCCAACATGTTTCACCCTGCCCCCAGAGCTTAATCATGGGGGCATAGCTTGGGTAAATCGAACTGAGGCTGCTTTTATCTATTAACCAGGCGAAGTGTGCAGCAGCCCTACCATCTCTTCATATTTCTACAGTGTGCTTTGGATCTGGACAAACCTTTCCCCAGCCTGCACCCACACTAGTCAGTGGCATCCAATTCATTGGATCTTGTCAGCCTGAGCGGGGGCTACTAAGCATTTATCGTGGGCCACTTCACGGGATGTCAGCATTCCCTGCTGCCGACTGTAGATCTATCCCTAGGTCACAGTAGAACACAGGAATTGGCAAAATGAACCAGGCATTCAACACACTCAGAACTGTTCTGGAAGCTGAAGATCTTTCAGCAATATTATTTTTTCAAAACAGAAGAGGATTATTCTATTATTAATTTAAAAAAATAAATAAAAGTGTTACTAAAGTCACAACAGTAAAATCAGTTTGTATATGCATTAAAGCAAACTTGTTATACTTGCTACGGGGTTAATCGTCTGCATTGTGTAAAAAGGCTGTTTGGCCCCATTTTCTCTGCCCCTCTGCTTGTTCAAATGTCCACCTGATAAGACAGACTAAACCCGTAGCCACATGCTCAGTTTAGTGTGTATTGCTAGAGAGCTTTTTCTTTTCTTGGGAGAGTGCATGCGATCAGCAAAGGGCCTATCAGCACTGTCCAGACAGAGGATCAGGGACTTTGCATCCTCCTAGAGCAGAAAAAAAAATCCTCCTACAAGCTTTAACCAGTGCTCTGCTGAAGTCACAAGACTGCTCTAACTGCTGATGAGAAAAGGTATATAGTGGTTTATATTTACTAAAATAATTGCACTTTCATGTTGTGTGTACTGTGGGAGACCAGATAAAGTGAATGCAGGGTCCTGGGTTTAGCATGCTCTAAAACTGAAGAGATTGCGTATATATGTTTTGCAAAAGAAGTGT